TTAAAATACATTAGGTTAATAAGTGTATTTTCACTAATGGGGTAAGACTTATACAAGTTTAAACATACACATGCTATCTTTAAGTATTAATATAACTTATACCACCCTCTGATGGTTTCCTTTTTCATTAACCATTATTTAAGGTTGTTGTGGTTTTTTTTTAATGCATTGTACATCCCATGAAATTAGATTAGCAAATCCAGGGAGTCCAGCTTGTGAGGAGGTGGGGATGTTTTTCATATGCTCAGCATATCTTAGAAAGAACAAAATCAAGCCTTATGCAATGCTGAATGATTATATAGGCAACCAATTGAATGATGCCAGAAGCATGGAAAGAAGATGGAGCGAATCCTCAGAGTCACTGAACCAAAAACACTCGTTGATGGTCCACCATTTTAGGAAGTAGCACATGAGCAAGAACCAATGGTGCTGGTGGGAGAAGTTCAAGTTGCAATGGAAGCATGAGCCACTAGCGAGACTCCAGGAATTGATGGAATATCGATTGAAATGTTTCAAAAAGCTGATGAAATGATAGAAGCACTTGGCCATCCATCTATGCCAGGATATTTGGAAGACTGCTACTTGGCAAACCGGAAGAGATCCATATATGTGCCCTATTCCAAAGAAAGATGACCCCCAAAAAGGTGACCACTGGGAACCACTGGTGATTCACCTCCTGAAGCAACCAGACATTAAATAGCTATGAGGATATTTGTTGTCTGGTGTCTAGGAGATGTTTCAGTAGGGGCAACACAAATTTTTTATTTCTCAAATATCTCCCTTTCTGTCCCCATTTCCCAGAGGGGACAACGACAGCCCTTCTTCTCAGGAGAACTTCCCTGCAGGTGGATCCATGCACCTGTTAAACCTTTTGGAGATAGTGACCCCCTCTACTTGGGTTTTGATCCCTGAAGTCTGGCCCGTTTACCATCTGAAAACCAACACCAAGCTCCCTGCCCTAGAGTTGAGCTGACTCAGGGTGTCCCTGTAGCACAGGGTAGAAAGGCCCCTGTGAGTTTCTGAAACTAACTCTCTACGAGAGTAGAAAGCCCCAATCTTGCAGATCGCAGCTCAATGTATGACTGCTACAACACCAGGGATGGCCTCTCTACGTATTATAGATATAGTCACTATTGTGAACATTTGGGAAGGACAGTCCATGTAGCTGGTTATTAACTATGCAGTGATGATGAATTCCAAGCTGAGGTTTTATGATAGAAGCTAATGAACCTTTAGTTTTCTCTAACTAATTCCTCCTTTGTTTCTACATCATGCTACCTCTAGAAATCATGTCACAGTTTCATCATGAGCATTTCTAGTGGCCTCCAGCTGTTCATTTTATGCCTAAGAGAAGCATTGGACTTGCTGGTTCAAATTCACCAGCCATTTTGCAGGACAAAGATTATTCCTGTAAAGATTTATAAAGCCTCAGACATCCTATGAAATGGCATCCACTTAATGGTAGCGGGTTGAATTTTAGTTTGGGGTAATCCTCATCATGGATTCCTGACGGCAGGGAACCCCTCTCCACAAAGGTGGTGATTCAAACCCACCAGCCCCAGCCACTCTGTAGGAGTAAGGTGAGGCTGTGTGCACCTGTAAAGACCTGTCGTCTTGGAAATCTTAAGGAGTAGTTCTCTGTCCTCTAGGCGCACTGTGCACCTGAATCAACTCAACAGCAGTGGGGAGCTCTGGTGTTGCTGTGGTTGAGCACTTGGTGAATAGCCCAAAAGTCTGTGGGTCAAAGCCACCAGTCCCGCCTGTGGGAGAGAGATGAAGCAGTCAGTTTTTATTTATTTTCTTTCTTTTTCTTTTGGTAATAATAGGGCACTGCAATCCGGTGCAACATCCTCTAGGGACACTTTGAGTCAGAATGAACTCAACCCCAATGTCTCAGGGTTTGGTCTCATGGTCATCAGCTATCTGACAACCTTCAAAAGGAGAAGTCATACTTTCACTTGATACAAGTACATATCAATAAAAATAAAACAACAGGTTTTTCATAAGAACTAGTAATTAATGGTTAGAGTTCAATCAAAAACAAAGACACTGTAGATTTATGAAATGTTCATACTATAGTTTATTTTTATAGAAAGATCTAAGTACAATGGACTTAAGAGTTACTTTTATGTCTATACATGCATTCAACATTTTAGAAATCACCCAGTTGTTTTATTAAGTTATTGTTTTATAACTGTTGGTCTTTAGAAGTCTGTAGCTTTTTCATCTTTATTGACACTTTTTCTTTTAGAATTTTAATTTACGTTGATTCTACAAATGGAAGGTTCAATTGCTTTCAGTAAAAAGTATTCTGCTGGCTTTCAACCTGTAACTTAGATTTAAATTTCTGTGTTTATACTTTAATTATATATGCACTTACACACACACACACACACATATAATTACAGTATAAATACACTTGTATATATTTATAAGGCATGTTCCAGTAAAGTGAATTGTGCATTTGGGGTGACAGGTGTTTGACAAAATGAATAGCCTTATATAGCAGTAATTGTATAAATATCCATGAAAAACTATACGGAAACCTGTTCCTGAAAGGCCTGCAGTTATTGAGGCTGCTTCATAAAAACATGTTTATATCCCCCAAACACAAAAGATTGAGATAAAGCTGATTTAGCCTCAAACAGAATCGCATATACAGATCATTTATATTTATTAAAGTGTTTATTAAAGCCATACTTTACATTTGGAGACTCCAGATAGTTTGTATGTTTTTGTAATAGTTTGGGTTTTCATTGGTTTCCAATTAAATCACATGTTTTCATTTTCTGAAGCTCTCATAATTTTGCATATTCTAGAATCTATTAGGCTGACTTTTATATTCACATTGTGTTGCCACAACTACCTAATGGAAGCAAGGTTTCTGACTTTTCCCAGTCTGGGCTCCAGACCTCCCCAGGCCACACTAGGGAGAAGAATCCATACCCACAACCATTCAAGGCCAACTGCCACAAGGCAGCCTGGGGCTGCAGTGGTTGTACATGCTCAGCATGCTCAGCAGTTCAAAACCACCTGCGGAGAGCCACGGGCTCCTGTAAATAGTTACAGTCGCAGAAACACACGGGGGTCGCTATGTCTCAGCATTGATTTGATGGCAGTGAGGTTGGTTTTCGGAGAGAGGTCAGACACGCCTCCACTCTCCACCTTTCATGTGCTGTTCTGACACCAACCACCTCTCCCTCCCACCCCCTGCACTCTGCTTCCCTGCTGGCTTCCCTAATACACTGTGATGACCACATAGAAACTTCCAGGCAATTCCTATGGTTGTGGAGGCTTCTTAGTGAGGTTACCAGACTACTGAAAGCCGGGTTCAGAATACACTGAGGGTAGAACTTGTGTCCACAGTAGGGACTTTCCTCAGCCACTAGTCCAGTTTTGCTCACTCTGATCATCAGTCTCAGCCTCTGGTCTCCATGGGCCAGGAAGCCCACCCTTTGTGCTGCCTTCCAGTCACCAAAGCACAGCAATGCCTCTGTTCTCTCTCAGGGGTTCTCTGGTTTGGGTGTAGCTTGGCTTCTACTGCCTCCACCACTTCCACTAGGGAGCGCTCTCCAAAGTGCTCCGATGGTGACTCTTCTTCCTGAAGGTCGCAGAATTCTCTCTGTTGCATCTGACATAGCTCTTATTTGGCCAGTGGAATGGCAACCAACAGTGAACAGTGCCTTCAATCCGTGTTTCAGGCACTCTGTCTGCACAGCCCCACCCAATCGCTTGGATAGAAGAGCCATCGCAAGAAGTGTCATTCCACCACACAGCCGACCCTGCCGCCCTTTCTGGGATTATAGCAGACAATAAACTCACAAGATAGTGGTGTTTTACAAAGGACAGCTCACTTACCTTCTAAGGACAGGCTCTACTTAGTTATTATAACTGCAAATATGTATTGAATATTTTCGAGGTAGTGTCCTAAGAGCTTTAGTTACACACCTTTTAGCACCCATACAAAATTAGGAAAACAGAAGCACAGAGATAATTCATAATTCCCTGAAATCACTTAGTGATGGGGGCAGAATTTAAACCCAAAGATCTAGCTCCCGGTCTGATATAAATAAATGCTATGCTGTATTTGTTTGCATGATTAATAGATGTTTATGCCCTGATTTTAGCTTGCATCTACAGTACTCGAAGCTTCCCTTTCAGTTCATTCTGACTTTCACAACAACATTTTGTGGGTGGTACGGTACAAGTCAAATTTTATCGATTGGAGAAAAAAGAAAAGCTAAAGAGCGGGTTATTAAATAAATTAGCTTCCCAGAGCTATTGACACCATTGTGATTAAAACCTTAGTGTGCTTAGAACTAGATTCTGATCTTTTGCAATAACCAGCACCCTAGTAGTGCACAATTGCATTCCAAGTGTCCATTACTGTGTTTGGTGGCTGGGAGAGCAGCATACAAGTGAAAATCACTTGGGTGCTGTGCTAGAATTCTTCCCAAGAATTCTGCCAAGAAGTTTCCGTTTCATCTGTTTTAAAGTTGAGGAGAACGAGATGTGGTTCGTCTGCCTTCCCGAACTCGTTGAAGCTTCAGAGGGAGAACAATGACAGCAAGCGAAACAGAGCCCTCAACAATTTGAAGAGCATGCTACTTTAATGATAGAAAATGTGCTTTAGTGAAGTATTTGAAAATATACCTTAATGTCCTATGAAGCCCATTAAAAACATGTTTTTGATCATAGAGCCTAAATCCCATGTCACTAGTGCTATGGATAAGGCAGGAGGATGTTGACCTCAAATCCATACTTCCAACCCTACAGACTCATTGGCAGGAGGATGAGACTGGCTGCTCCAGGGAAAATATACAAATCCCAGAATCCTTATATAAACCTGATATCAGTTGGAATTGACTCAATAGCAGTGGGGTTTTTTTGTTGTTATTGTTGTTGTTATGTTTTGCCTTGTTGTAGTATTGAGTTCACTGTGCTGAACTCGTTTAGTATCTGAAAAGCTAACCTACACTATACATTCTGTTTTATTTTAGGTCCAGAGGAAGCAGAATTCCAGTGTCCCTTGAATCACATCGCTTGCCTCGGTACCGGCCAGTGTGTGCATTTGTCCCAGCTGTGCGATGGCCTCTCAGACTGCTCCGATGGGTATGACGAGGGCGTGCACTGCCGCGGTGAGTTCATGTGCTGAAGAAAGCATCAACATATTACATTTTGCACAGTTTTAGTGAAGGATAAAAAAGAACCTATAACCCACCTTTTATTTCTACTGTAAACATGTCATTAGCAAGCAAGCATTTCTAAACTGCAACTATTGTGTTGTATTGAAAACCACAGAAGAAGAAACGCATTTAGACTGTGAAGTTGGGCTCTTACACAATTACGTGTTTCATATCAAAGAGTACTTTTGATCAAGGGACAGATTGAAAGTCTGTTTCATTGTAGTTTAATATCATACAAATTTTACAAGCTTGTTTGTTCTGAATTTTGCTTCTACAATAAAATATTTTAGTAAGATGCAACCAAGGGAAATTTATTTATTTTTTTTGGGGGGGGGGTATTTTTATATAATTCCATTAAGATATACAACACTCATAGTAGCTTTTTTCTAGTCCACCCCTCCCCCCACTCTCTCTTTTTATAAATCTACCTCTAAAGTTGACAGTGGTAGAATGTCTGTGTGTATTTTAATGATATGAGGGAGAGAAATTTCAAAACTAAGTAGGAACAAAACATTGTTGAAGCAGGCACACTTGATAAGATTAAGTTTTGGAGGAAATTTCAGACTGAGAAATGTAAGATTATTTGGCAAAGCAATCCAGCATCAAGGTATCAAAGTTTTTGTCTGGTGAATTAGCTGGCAAGAAGGTACTAGGAAATAAAGATCTGTACCTGAATCCCTACATCTGATTTTGACAGATGAAGTTTAACACAGAGGACAGTAGCTGTAGTGTCAAATAGCACCGGGCAATACCAATTAGACCATGTAGACTGGAAATGAGTGTGGAAAACTGGAGATATTTTTTGGTCTGTGGGCACTCACTCAAGCTGTTTGTAACAATGTGCAAAATGGTTCCAGGGTCGCTGCAAACTCCTGTTTTTAAGAAGAGCTTCAAAGCTGGGTTTGGATATTCAGACTCGTTTTGTTTAAAGTTGCTACATTTAAAAAGAAAGTAATATATGTATATGTGTATATATAGTACACACAACACACACACATATGCACAACAGCCCTATTGGATTGAGTTGCTAACCCCAAGGTCAGCAGTTCAAAATCAGCAGATACTCCAAACAAGAAAGATGAGGCTCTTTACTCTCATGAATATTTACAGTCTTAGAAACCCACTGAGGCAGCTTTATTCTGCCCTGTGGAGGTGCTATGAGACAGAATAGACTCAACGGCATTGAGTGTGTGCACATATGCATCCCATGCCACACACATCCAGCAGTGTCCAGGTTAACAAACTACCTGATGCCCCATCCAGCTTGCTGGCTACCAGTTTTTTAACTATTTGACTAAAACAAACTGGACTCAAGACAGAGATAGAGAGCTATGTTTAAAAAAAAACAGTGCACCTCCCAGAAAGATAAACTCGATGAGATGAGGGGAAGAGACAACATAGGTAGGCTGCTAACATTGACCAGGTCCTTACATCCTTGATCTCTTCCAAGGAGCGGGCCAATTTCTCTGATGCTGTGAGCAAACTTCGACATGGAAGGTGAAGGTCTTCCACAGATTCTTACTTTTGACTGAGATTTCTTCCTTTGCTATAAACACTGACGGGTTTATAGAAAGGAACCCGCAGAATCTTAATTTTGGTTATAGATAATTATGATAATAATGACTTTTACTTATTTTTCCCTCATTGCCATTGAGTCTACACTGACTCATAGTGACCCTATAAGAGAGGGTGGAACTGCCCCTGTGAACTTCTGAGACTGTAGCTCCTTAAGGAAGTAGAAAGCCTTATCTTTCTCTTGAGAAATGCCTGGTGGTTTTGAACAGCTGACCTTGCAGCTAGTAGCCCAATGCCTAACCTCTAGGCTACCAGGGCTACCATAATGACTTAAGACATTTTATGTTTATTTAGGGATACATCTGTGGAATGTATCATTTTTTAAATAAAATTGTATATTACATGGTATGTTTAATTTTAAATATTTACAATAATTTATTATGATATAATGAAAAGCATTCTATTAATGGAAGTAAAGTACTAAATTATAAAACTGTAGTAATTACACTGTTTAAATTCTTTTCAGGAATTAATTTTCTGAAGACTAGTTTTATCCACTTCAATTATTTTTACGCTTCTTATTCTATTAAAATTTGCTGTTTATGTAGACATGTGTGAATATGCTTCTAAAGCGAGACAGCTAATGTCACCAACTACTTCTTCAGTGGTAATTAAACACACTTGAATCTTTACACACATCTCAGTTTTGTGGATGATTTAAAATAGGTCCTACAGTTTTCTAATAAAATTTGGAGTCTTTGACCTAATAAATGAGAGATGATTTATACTTAAGGAAGAAAATTGAAATTATACTACCTTGAACAAAATCTAAGTTGTGTTGAAATTCATCTTGAAAATTGAAAATAGCAGTATCTAGGTTTCATTGAGATAGAGTATATGATTATTTTTGCTAATTTTCTCATCTTATTCTGCTTTCTGTCTCATGTCTCATTCCTGATGTGTGATGACTTGGGTGTGCATAAAAAAAGTTAGAAAGTTAAAATTATGTTAAGGCATTTATTAAAACGCAGGGGGAGCAAGCAACCATGATTCTGTAAGGACCTTCAGAGAAGACTAGTCTTGAGTAGCCAAGTCCCTGCAAGCTTACAAATAAAGGATAATTGTCTTAGTCAAGAATTGGTATGTCTTTCTTAGAACAAGGTTTGATTGGACCTTTTGTGCAGCTGTGCAGTTTTACAAGCTCGTTTCTGCACCTCTCTGCCCCCCCCACCCCCCCTCACCCCACCCCCCGCACTTTTCAGTGGGTGTGTATACAGCATGTTGGGCAAACTTGGAGTCTGAAAAGTCAAAGTGGATTCTGTAGCAGGGGCATCTGGGATACTTAACATCACTATTTGGCATGCCCCCACTTTTTTCATTCTTAGTCCCCATCACAAGTTAATAGTGGGACCACCTCTTTAGGTCATACAGTGGTCAGGAGGGTCCCTGCTTTTCATTTATCTTAAGCCTGCTCTTTTAGGAGGGAGTTTGTGACTTGCAGGATGATTGAAATAAGGATTCCATAGGTTTTCTGCGTCATTTTGAAACATCACGTGTCTGTCTTGCTCCTGTTAGTTTCTCTTGGCATAATTTTCTGCAACCTATGGATTTGCCATATATCCCCTGCTTCCTTGAATAATTAATTTTTATCAGCTCTTACTTCCTCTGTATACTACATTCAACACTGGGTCATGAAATATCTCACTATCCATGCTTGGTCTTATAGAGCGCCACTGAAAACACAGGCCCAAATTCACGTGTTTCAGGTGACATTGGATTTACCACTTGTTTTAAATACGAAAAAACAATGCTTTTTTCTCTTTCCTTTTTTTCATCAGTAACAGGTGAAAAAAAGTTATTTTTTTCTAACACAGTTATTTTTCTAGATTTCAACAAAGTGCTTTAAAGAGTTAAATACTTACTAATAGAAATAAAAATAGAGATCAACAGACATAACAAAAAAGTATTTTATATCTATACTTATTATTTATTTACACAATAGATAATTTTACATCTAATTCTGTGACCTTGTCCGCAATATAGAATGGTGGTAGCAAGGTGACTGAAAGCAGGTAGTCATTCCAGAGTCAAATTTATTTGTATTGGGGGGAAAAAAAGCACCCTCAGAAAGGTCATTAGCCGTGCTTGGTCTCACAGTACGCCCCTGAAAACGCAGGCCAAATTTTACATCTTTTAAGTTGACACTGAACGTACCACGTTTCTTACATGAGGAACAATGATTGTTGCTAGGCAATGCTAGATGACTAGAACTCACTCTACTCTTCAGTCTTTGACCTTCTCCCTCATTGTTGGTTCCACCATCCCTCCGCAATGAGCTTCCTCATCATTACAGAGGCACAAAAAGAGCAGATTAAGTAAAATATTTCACTGTTGTTTACAAGATTTTCATGTTGTATAACCATCCAGTTAAACCTCCTTCTTGTCCATCTCTCCCATCTGTTGTAGTCTAAGCACACAGCCTAATTTAAATAATTATATATCAATGCTAGACAATTATTCAAGCATGATTTGTTTCCCTAATAAAGGATTCGACATATACATGGTTGTATATTGCCACCTTTATGCAAACTACTAAAAAAAGAGAAAAGTTTAAGAGTTTAGGAGTGATATTCTGATCCTGTAAATATGTTTGTATCAACTGTATTGTTTTCTGAGTGTTTCCTAGAAAAATCAATTTCTCTCTGGTGAAGGTAATGAAAACATATCTATTATTAATGATTTTCTATAGCAGCGATATTTTAATCTCCATAATTTAGCTCTACTTGATGAAGGAAAAATGGATTTTTGTATATGGATGTACTTCCAGATAGGTATGTGCTTACATAAATTTTAAAACAGGAATTTTTTAAATCACCACTTTATATTTTAGATAGTTCTTATCATTTTCTATGTTATTTCATATTGGTGGCAATAACACCATGTCTAAATTGAGTGAAAAAGAGAAATGCATTTCCTGCATGTGAAGTCTCTCAATCTCGGATATTTCTGCAGAAATCCCTTGAGCCGCACAAAGGAGGCTTATTGAGGTAAACAGAATCAGCAAGCAGTGAACAGATTGACTGAGATCTATGGAAACACTGTTTTAAAATGTAACATTCTTAAGATCATTGTGTTAAATGTCTTGCTAAAATTTGAAAAGAAAAGAAGCCAAGGGTGCCCTATTTAAAATTCAACCCAAATTCCACATTTGCAGTGTGTTTGCAGTGCCAGAGGTCAATGGAGGTCTCCGTACCATCCAGTCTCTTCTTTGAGGCTCTGAAACAAGAGTAACTTAATCTTCTGTGTCATTAAAGAAAGTGGTGATGTGATCTTTGTCAGTGTTTTATAGTAAACTTCTCAGTGTCCGGTTAAATCTCAATAGTACAAGTGTATGAAATATTTTTTAAAACTCACTAGGGCAGGAAATTCTGAAGTTT